TTCTCAGAGTCCATAGTCTCTCATGGTTCGTCTCCCCCTCCGATTTTCCCCCCTTCATTCTTTTCCTTCCTGCTATCTTCTTCTTTTTTTTTTTTTTTTAAACATGTAATGTATTATTTGTTTCAGAGGTACAGGTCTGTGATTCAACAGTCTTAACACAATTCACAGTGCTCACCATAGCACATACCCTCCCCAATATTTTAAAGATAAATGGAGTAATAGATGTATGATTGCTTTCTGGTCTTAAAAGGAAATAAGTACTTAAGCTTCTGAATGTTAATTGTAAGAGTTTATTCGGTTCATATGTGCTCTACTGGTTGAACTTCCAGTTATGTTTTTTTTCCCTTTTTCTACAAACTGTTGTATTCTTAAATTTTACTCAATACTTTCATATATTCATGTTTTGAATCAAGTTCTTTTTTTATGCTATCATAGTTGTAAAATAAAAGAAGATCTCACCAGTATGAAACACTCTGTGGTTGAAAAACAAGGAGAATGGCATAAAAAGTGGAAAGAATTTCTTGGTCTGTCTCCTTTCAATCTAATTAAAGGTTGGACTCCAGTAAGTAATGTTGACTTGCCTTTTGGAGAGTAGTTTAATACAGGGCAGTCTTTTGATTTATGTTACGAATGATCTAGGAATGCTGTGCATGTGTAAGTTGTCATCTTTGCACTTGAGCCTAAAGTTTAAATGTTTTGGTTTCTGTAATTTTTCTTTTTCTTTTTTTTTTTCAAAGATTTTATTTATTTATTTGACAGAGAGATAGAGAGAGAGCACAAGTAGGCAGAGAGGCAGGCAGAGGGAGACGGAGAAGCAGACTCTCCACTGAGCAGGGAGCCCGACGTGGGGCTTGATCCCAGGACTCTGGGATCATGACCTGAGCCGAAGGCAGCCACTTAACCGACTGAGCCACCCAGGCGCCCCATGTTTCTGTAATTTTTCTAAGTGCATATTAGAGTATTCATCCAGCTGCTTTATGATTTATAGTTCATATTTTTAGATTTAGAGGATTATATTAAAAAGAAAATGAGACATTGAGGCACAGTTGGAGGACAGAGTAGTCCCCTTGTTCTAATATCGTACTCCTTGGTTTAAAAGTAGTTATAAGATAATTTACATGCTTGGTAATTCTGTCTTCATTAGGGGGAAACAATCATCCATTCATAGATTATCTTAGTAGTGTTATGTAAAAAAAAAAAATGTGTATTTCAAAATGATGAATTCTGTGTTTTAAGGCTGTGGATCTTTTACCACCAATGTCTCCTCTGTCATTTGATCCTGCCTCAGAAGAAGTATATGCAAGGAGTATTCTTTTGCAGTATCCTGCTTCACTTCCAGGTTAGTTATTTGTTTTTCTCTCTCTTAAACCTCCTTCCCAGTAGTATTTCTCACTATGATAGCAGCTTCTTTACAGTTTTGTCTTGTTCCCCCCCGTCCAGTTATTTTTTATTGTGGTGAAATGCACATAGCATTTTAGTCACTGCAGTGTACAACTCAGTGGCATTTAGTAAGTTTACAAAATTGTGCAACCATCACCACTTTTTAGTTCCAGAATGTTTCTGTTACCTTAAATAGGAAATCCTAGGGGCTCCTGGGTGGCTTAGTCAGTTAAGCATCTGACTCTTGTTTTTGGCTCAGGTCATGATCTCAGGGTCCTGAGTTTGAGCCCGCGCTCAGCGCAGAGTCTGTTTGTCCCTCTCCTTCCTCCTCTGCCATCCTCCCCCACACTCTTGCTCTCTCTCTCTCAAAACTAAATAAATCTTTAAAAAAAAAAAAGGAAATCCTGTACCCATTAAGCAGTCACTCCCCATTTTCCCCTTTCCCAATCCTTGGCGACCACAAATGTACTTCCTCTCTCTATCTGTGGATTTGCCTGTGCTGGATATTTCATATAAATGGAGTCATATACTATGAGGCTTTATGTGTCTGGTTTCGTTCACTTGCAGCATTTTTCACTTTGCACAATATTTTTTAGGTTCATTCAAGTTGTAGCATGTATCAGTACTTCATTAATTTTTATGAATACATTCTATTGTATGACTAAAGCATATTTTGCTTGTCCATTCAACCATTGATGGACATTTGGGTTGTTTCCACCATTTCACTATTATGAGTAATGCTGCTATAAACATTTGTTTACAAGTTTTTGTGTAGAAGCCCACAACTCTTTAACATGAAAGAATAGTACAATAATTACTTGAATACCACCTGTTTTGACTATCAGCATCTGCTACATTGCTTTATATGTGTATGTATGTGTTTTTGCTAAACCAAGTAAGTTCTAGACATTGTAACACTTCACTCTAAGTGTTTCAACATGCATTCCCATAAAAATAGACTTTTCCTATGTAACTACCCTAGTAATGTCACATCTAAAAAATTATAATAATTCTATAATACCTTTTTCCTCAACTATTATACCACTGTCACACCTAAAAAATTAATTTCTCTACAATATCTGATAATCCATTTTATATAAATATATAAATATATTTTTATTTATAATCCATTTATATCTTTATATTTTATATACATTTATATTTTATATTTATATTATATATTTATAATCCATTTTATAGTTAATTCAGTTTCCCTAGTTGCCTAGTACTTGTGTACAAGTAATTGTTACTGAGTTCAGTAAATGTTAGATTAATAAGAGGAGGAATAAATGCATTAAAAAAACCTGTGAATTATGTAGCCAGGCTGGAGCATGTAATAGATGTAGGCCATAGTTGAGTTCATGGAGGCCAAAGGTCATGGCAGTAGTTAGCATAGGACCTAGGAAGAAATGGGTGAACATAGCTGGGATGGGTGATTGGTTTGGGAGTGAAGTGTACATACGGACACTGGTTAAGAAAGGTCATAGATTAGAGAGCAAGGCTCAGGAGAGGCACTAGCAAAAGAGTAGACATAGAAAAGACTGCATGGTTTGATGAATGACAAAGAGCTTCAGAAAGAGCATTATTTAGGATGATAGAATGACTCTTAGAGCTCTTGGCATATTTGATTGGCATTTTGTTTTCACTTCAACATAAAAAGGGCCATTGCCCTCTGGCAAGACTTAGGTCCTATGAAACCATAAATTAGTCTTCGTGTCCATTCGGAGATTTCTTTCTGCCTTGAAAGTGAGGGCATATTTGTGTCTGTTTAGGAAGTGCAGTGGAAGTTCACATTTTAGAAGCGTTTGATAGGTCCTTTGAGGTAATGCTGTCCTCCAGACATTGTAGAATTTGTACTCTTAGGATTCCTTTTTTTTTTTTTTCCCCTAAACAAGTAGAGCTTTGATCTGAGCTGGGGGACCTTAACATTATTTTATGCTTTTTGTAGTAAAACAACTTTTTTTCCTCCTACACCTTACATATTACATCTTACTTGAAATTTTCTTTTAAATTTTTTTTAAAAAATTATATTTCGGCATATTAAAAATTCAGGGAATAATATAAATAACCTCTTCACCAAATACTTTTTGTCAAAGTTTTGCAGTATTTTAGGATTTTTAAAAAAGATTTTATTTATTTATTTATTTGAGAGAGAGAGAGTGAGAGAGCACAGCAGGGGAGTGGCAGAGGGAGAGGGAGGAGCAGGCTCCCTGCTAAGCAGAGAGCCTGACACGGGGCTTGATCCCAGGACCCTGGGATCAGATCTGAGCCTAAGGTAGACACTTAATTGACTGAGCCACCCAGGTGCCCCTTTAGATACTTTTTAGACTTTATTTATTTATTAGAGAGAGAGAGAGCATGAGCAGAGGGAGGGGCAGAGGGATGAGCAGATTCCCTGCTGAGTGGGGAGCCTGACTTGGGGCTCAAATCCCGGACCCTGAGATCATGACCTGAGCTGAAGTCAGATGCTTAACTAACTGAGCCATTCAGGTGTCCTGCAATATTTTAGGTTTTTTAAAAATATATATATGTAGTTAGTCTTTGGGGATCCACCTTTCTTGACCCCATTCTTCCTGCATTTGCAGATGTGACCACTATCCTGAATCTTAAATTTATTTTGATGTACGTTTATAAAAATAATTTTACTACATGTGTATGGATCTAACTATATACAAGACTCTTCTGGCATATGAATAAATTTCTCTTATTATACTCCAAAATGTCCTGTGTAAATGTTTATATTTTGCACTAGGATCTAAGGAGGGTTCATTCATTGCTTTTGGTTGTTTTGTCCTCTTACTTTTATTCTAGAAAAATGCTCCTGCCCCCCTTTTTAAGTGACATTGTTAGAAATTGTTTTTAATAATCGTTGTGTGTTTAGATTTGCCAACACATTTACTGTTTTTTTTAGGTCCAGATTACTACTTTTATTCTCCTCAGAAGTATATCTCAAAGTATATATATATTTTTAAAGATTTTATTTATTTATTTG